GCTCGCGGCTCCCGCGGGCTCCCGGGCCGCTCGCGCCGGGTTTCCTGGCGCCCGCCGCCCCTCTCGGCCTTGGCCCTCTTCTTCTCCCTGTGCGGGGACGCGCCGCCTCGTCCGCGGGCGTCTCGGGGCCGGGGGGGCGGGGCGCGGGCTGGGGGCGGAGCCCCGGGGGGGACCCGACGGTGTCTGCTCTGCGGAGCGGAGACCGGCCGCCACCCCCGAGGCTGGGTGCGCGGCTTAGGCAGCGCCGTCGCGGTGTGGAGGCCGCGTGCCCCTGCCCGAGGTGTCCTGTGTGCGGGTGTCCTCCGACTGCGGGTGCGAGCGGACATTTCCCTTCCCTGAACCGCCCCGAGACCCGCCAACCCGCTGAAGGGTGATGGCGCAGCTTTACAATAGTCTAGAACAGCGTGTGTGGCCCAAGTGCGACACTAGAGCGCCTAGGGGACACAAAGGGTCATCGAGCTAGGGTAGCTGAGGCCAAAGAAGAAACCTCTCCTCCAGCTCTCGGTTTCCCTCTTGGATGGAGTCTTCCAGGGGTGCCCGTTCTCTCTCCCTACTTTATTACTTTTGTTTTTGTTGTGTAATTGTCAGACGCTGGGGCAAGCGAGAGATGGAGAGAGAGAGAAACAGGGGAGGGAGACAGAAAGCTCCTCCCAGCCGGGCATGGTCACAGTGGAATCCGGTCTCCTCCATTTCTCTATCCTGGGATCTGGGGGCATGCTGGCACAAGGCTTCGCACGTTTTTTAAGCCCCTGCAGAGATTGAAAGCTCATTTGGCCATGTGGGATCCGACTCTCCCAACCACTAGGCTGCTGGCTGGCCCTCATTTATTTCGGATCCTGGCCCTATTCTTTGTGGCAATCCATTAGCCAGTAATGATATTGGCTGGCTCCTTCTGGAAATACTTAATGTTTTGAAGAGAGAAAGAGAACGTTCTCCAGCGTTATTTCGGTTTCCTTTCCTAGTACTTAAACCTGTTGATGCACTGCTTCTGGAGGAGCACAGAAAGAGAGCCTGGTGTGGCCAGAGCGCCTGCAGTTTCAGCTACTCCGAGGCTGAGGGAAGAGGACTGTTACACAGAACTTGTCCAAAATTTTTTTCTTTTTTCTTTTTTTTTTTCTTTTTCCCCAGAAGGGAATGTGTCTAGTTTATCTTGTGTTTGCAGGAAAGGGGGCACTTTTGTTCCGGCCTAGGACCTGTTATGCTTCTGTAATGAAGTCTAGAGTTTTTATTTTTTTCAAGGATCACTAGCCAGGCTGGATCCAGCAGCAAACTAGGGGTCTGTCAAACCTGTTCTAAGAACGAGACACTGAATAGATGTATTTCCCTCTTATTCTGTTCATTTGTTTCTCACCAAATGAGAGGTTACTCTAGACGATTCTGACAAGATTTATGAGTCTCCTAAAATAGCTAAGTCACATGGTGGTAGAAATAAGGCCATTCAACATTTATTGAATTCACACAATAATTACTCTCCCTCCCCCCAAAGAGGGCTGGCTCTGTGACCTGACGGTTAAGGGAGCCAGAACTCATGGAGCTGACCGCACTGTTTGAATCTCAGCCCCAGTGGCTTGAAAACCATGCCAGGCACATGTGTGTGCCCAAATCCTGATAGGGTGGAGAAATGGAGGAGAAAGGATTGTGGTGGGACCACACGCTGTCAGGAGGCACTTTATCCCTCTCCCTGTGTCTCTTAAACTTTATTAAAATATGAGGACCTGAAGTACCAAATGGGTCTGGAAAAAAAATGTTCTACTTTCTTTCATTGTTCCAAGTGAGGGCAGTGGAAGTAATGCAATTGAAGGATTACTAACAAGGTAATTTTTAAAAGTTTTTTAAACTCTCTTAACCTGATTAGTACATGGACTGCATAATGAAAGCAAATGTTTCCTCTCAAGTGCCTACCTCAAGTAATAGCTTCTGCCTAGAATATTACATGGAGAAAAATTCTGAAGCTGCATTTTGTCCATAAAGGCAAAAGTACCATGATTATTTAATAGTCTTCCAAATTAGGGACCAGCAGTTGGCGAAATGGCTATGTCGCTGGACTCCCATGTAGTTGACCACAGTTCGAGTCCCAGACCCCGTGGCTTAAACTCACGCCGGGCACGTGTGTGTGCGTGCCCAAGATCCCGAGAGGAGAATGGAGAAGGGATTGCGGTGTGGCTATCCCCCCTGGGGGGGTGATTTCTCGCTTTCTGTCTCTCTGTCTCTCTCTGTCTTTCTGGTGAGCGCACGTGCCCTATAGCAAAAACCTCTCAAAAACAAAACAAAAAAACCACAAATAGTCTTCCAAATTAATATTTGCTATTAATCATAGCTAGTTTCCTTATCATCCTGTACAAACTTCTGTTGTGAAAAACAAAATTTTAGCATTTATTGGTTTTCAGCCCTTGACTCTGTTATGAATTAATTTGATCTAGAGCCCTGGCTATTGACTATTTTTTTTGGGGGGGGGCAGTTGTGCTATAGAGTGTGTGTGCTTCCTGGAGAGATAGAAAGTGAGAAATCACCTTCCAGAGGGAATGGCCACACAGCAATCCCTTCTCCTCCATTCTCCTCTCAGGATTTTGGGCACAGGTGCCCGGCATGTATTTCTACCATCATGTGAGTTTTAAGCCATCGGGTCCAGGACTTGAACCAGGGTCGACTACGTGGGAGTCCAGCAATGTAACCACTACACCATTTTCTGGTCCCCAATTATGGACTCTTTTTAAAAAGCTTTTAAATATTTATTTATTCATGATAATGTGTGTACCCACGAGAAAGACAGAGAGGGAGAGAAGCACCCCTTGAAGGGTCTTGTCATGCCCAGTCCCTTTCTGACAATCCTCTCTAATTTGTCAGGATCTTGGGCCTGTGCCTGGCATGTTTTCAGGCTCATCAGGGACCCAAACCCACTGTCAGCCATGTGACTTCCAGCACTACAGTTCAGTTTGCTCCCAATTGTACCACCAGGCTGGGCCACTTAGCTATCGACTCTTATACCAAAGTTGCACTGCAGTATTTATTCCAAGACTAGGCAGAGTATCTGGCCAATTCAATAATCTTTAAACTGTACTCTCTTTCCTATGAAGAAAGAGACATTTCTTAAAGGACAAAAGTCAATCAAAAAGGACCCTACTGGGTGTTCAAGCCTATTCTGGGCTCTTGTTCTTGGTTTCCTTTGACAAGTTTCCTAATTATGACTTTGTTTTCTTTATCTATAAAAGAGCAATATGAGGGGTCTTCTAAAAGTTTATGGAAATGTGTATTATGAATGAACTATGCATGGATTTCAAAACTTTTTTGCATCAAAATTAATTCATACTTTAATTTTTCCACAAACTGTTTGAAGTCCCCTCATATAGCCCCTGCTTATAATATAAGGCTGTGGGGACTGTAAACGATAATGATGAAAGCTGAGAAAGTGCATCACATTCCATGGTTAAAAAAGAAAAAGCTGACAGAGCTTCTGGTAGGTGGAGGAGTTGGGATGGGAGTGCCGAGTTAGCATAAGACTCTCCAGCTTGTGGTCTTCCTCTACTCCTAACATGGCACTGCTGTTTTCTTTTAGATTCCTTTTTAATTGAAAGTGTTGCTCATCCTGTTGTTGAAAATATTAGATGTGCACATTCTTTAACTCTTAATACTTTACTGCTTGTTTAGATTTGTTAAGAGACTGACATTGTGGGCATGAGGTTAGTGAAAGAAGGACCAATTAAAGTTGTTGACTTTTGAGTTTCTGTTTCCAAGATGAAAGACCATGAAAGATTGCATGGCTCTCTAAATTGTTATACTTATTCCCATTTTGTGTTTTGAAATTTTATATCCAAATGGATGAATGAAGGAACAAATATTGATTCATATGGATTATGCAATGAAAAACCTGGAATTCATTGGCACTAGGTGAAATTACAAGTCTTATGTTTTGTAACTAAAAACTATTGAGTTGTTGGGAAAGCCATGGCATATTTTTCTATGCGAAAATGCATCATGACTTTTCTGATGACCCAGTGTAAGAACTTGGTAGAATTGACTTTCTCAACAGTAAAGAACCCAACCTAGGGGGTACAGCGATGGTTTAGAAAAGTGACAGATGACAACCTGATGCCAGGCTTTGGCAGTGGGGACAGCATGGATTCAGGAGATATTTCTGAGGCAGAGAACTGACAGAATTTGGTGATCTCATGGGGTTATGGAGATGACTGTGAGGGGACAGAGAACTTGAGACAGAGATTTCAGCCTTGGTAAGCTGAGCAGTTGGTCATAAGCACAATTTCTCCAGCAGACCCACTTCTCCTGACTGCACTGACCCCCAAGCATCTTACGTTCCCATTCTCTTTACCTGGAGATGCTTGTTGGCCTGTGAGGCAAATTAAGACTTACTTGAATTTTCTCTGATTAATTTACTCCACAGATACTTAGGGAGCATCTACTATTTGTTTAGCACTGTTCAGTTCAGAGGCTGTAAAGGGAAGACATGGTGTGTCCTTGAGGAACCTGATGGGGAGACAGACAGACATATAAACAGACAGAGGACCCATATCAGGGTTTCTCAACTATTAACACTTTGGACAGATGATTTTTTTGTTGTGGATGGCTATCCTGTGTATTGTATGGAGTTTTAGCAGCAACCATGACTTCTACCTACCCATCCCTAGTTGAGGTGACCAAAACTATCTCCAGACATTGCCAGCTGTCCTTTAGGGTCAAAATTACTCCTGGTCGAGAACCATTGATCTATATAATACTGTAGATTATATAGATCAATAAAAATGGCTTTTACTTTTAACTAAAAATTTGTTCCTAAGATTTATTTGTTTAATTTTGTTTATTATTATTATTTTTTAATCTGAAGACCCAAAGGAGAGAGAAAGTAACTCTGTCAGAGTGAAGTCAGAGGAGATCTGGTCTGGGCCATAATAAGAAATGAGTGTGTAGGCCTTGCCTTGGTGGAGTGCATTGCTGAGATGCTGTGCTCTTCAAGGTGATACCACATGGGAGGCCCGGGTTTGATTCCTGGTTCAACTTACAGGGCAGGTATGACCATTTCCTGTAATCTTAGTGACTTCTGAAGCTGAGGCAGGAGGATCTCCACAAGGAGACCATGTCTTTAAAAAAGGAAGAAAAGAAATAAGTAGGTGATCCTCAGGTGGACTTCAAAAGCTGGGCCTTCCATCTGGAGGGAGCACTGCAAAAGATAGCTTAGCATGTCATATACGGCAGGTTGACCAGTGGCTTGACAAATAGCCAATGGAGACCAGCAATGGGTAGCCCAAGGACTGAAAAGCCTTTTACATCATATAATATGGATTTTATCTTTAAGGCAAAAGATGTTATTGAAGAATTTTTCAAGGAATAATATGGTCAGCTTTGGAACTTAGGAGAGTCACTTGATGGACAAAATGAGATAAGTGGAAATGGGAGGAGAATGGAGGCAGAGAGAGCAGCAAGGAAACTCTTGTGAGAGGGAGGATATGGACGATATTTAGAAGAAAAGGTGAGGCCTCTAGGAACTCTGGTCAAAATTATTGGTGAAGGGGGACCAGCAGTTAGCATAATGGCTGTGTTGCTGGACTCCCATGTAGTTGACTGCGGTTCAAGTCCTTGACCCAGTGGTTTAAACTCATGTCAGGCATGTGTGCATGTGGGCCCAAGATCCCGAGAGGAGAATTGAGGAGAAGGGATTGCGGCATGGCCATCCCCCCTGGGGACTGATTTCTTGCTTTCTGTCTCTCTCTGTCTTTCTGGTGAACACACACACCCTATAGCAAAAACCTCTCAAAAAAAAAAAAATTATTGGTGAAGGGAGCTGACAACCAACTGAGGAAATACAAAAGAGGAAATGGCTTTTATTTTAAATTTTTAAATTTTTTCTAAGAGTTATTTGTTTAATTTTGCTTATTATTATTATTATTTTTTAATCTGATCAGAGAGAGACAGAGAGAGAAGGGGAAAGTGAGAAAGCAAGCTGCTGGGTCCTAGACTCGAACCATGGTTGGCTATGTGGGAGTCCAACACCTTAACCACCATGCCCCCTGCTGACCCTCAAAATGGCTCTTATTGAAAGGTAGGTGGGCCCAGTAAGTTCAGTTTCTGATGGTTTGAGCTTACAGTCTCTACAGGATATCTGTCTGGAAATGTGCAATAGGCAGGTAATTAGGTTTCAAGCACAGGACAGATGAGAGCTTCTTCTGAATTCCCTAAAAAATCATACGATCATAGGAAGCATGGCTAATATTCCAAGACTGCATATTTCTCAAGGCAATTCATTTCAAATGCCTTTTTATTCTTATTTTCTTTCTTACCACTAACATGCTAGGCCAGATGCCCTGCAGGACACCTGCCTGGCCACCTGGCTGTGCCTTCTACCCACACTCTTTGGGTCTTGTTTTAAGCCGCGTGGCCTCCTTGACCATGGGAAGGTGAACTTCAGGGGGCTCTCAGATCCACAGCAGTGATCCTGAGAGTAAGCAGGTCCTCAGTAGCACTCAGCCTTTTGCAGAAGATCAGTGCATGCAGGATGGCTTTTACCGTGCAACTTAGGAGCCTGTGGACATGCCAGGTAATCTCACTTGCCTTCTGAAAAGTCTGGGTGAAGGTTACTTTGGGCTGCAGGCTCCCAGCACCTCCCTCACTGTCAACCCCCACGCTGCCCCATGGACTGAGAAAATCAGGAACAGACCCTGCACCTGTAATCATGGCAGCACAGGTAAAAAAACATAAGAGAGTGTGCATCAGAATCATCTGGAAAGATTGCTAAAATGTGGGTTGCTGAACTCCAGTCTCCCTCTTCCCCATTCCTGATTTAGCAGGTCTAGACTGGGGCCCAAGAATATGCATTTCTATGTTCCCAAGTGATGCTGTTAGTCTGGAACTACACTTGGAGAACCACCGAAATAACAGAAGGAGGTTAAACAAAAGTGTACTTTAAAGATTCTATTTTAAGCAGCCTTTTCATTCTCTCAAATCTGACTTATTTTTCTTAAGAACACTCCTTATTACTTGACATTATATCTTATATATTTATTTACCTATTGTTTGTCCTTTGTAAGGTGCAGGAAAATAGGAACTTCGTTTTACTTATGTTATGGTCATAATCTTCTCAGACAGTGCCTGGCACACAGTAGGAGTTAAAAAGTATTTGTTGGCTTGAATAACATGTCTTAGGAAGGCATTAGCTGAAGCTGAAACCAGGAGAGTGGAAAAGGTCACCCATAAAATAGGGGGAAGAGTAAAAAGAAGAGACAAGGACAGACTCTCTATTAACTGTAGAGGCTGGCAGGTGGCATGTTGGTTAAGGGTGCTAGACTCTCACATGGCCAACTGTGGTTCGAGTCTCAGACCTGGTGGCTTGCTTTCTCACTTTTTCTTTCTGTCCCACTCTGGTCAAACAAATAAGTAAGTAAAATAAAGTTCAATAAAATTATATTAAAAATGTAAGTGGGTGTTCAGTGGGATAACAAGAAGAGGAAACAGAGCAGAAAGCTAGTAGCCAACCCCGTGTGCCATCATCACAGAGACTCATAGAGGAGAGATTTTCAGGAAGGGAGGGGGCTCCAACAGTAACCAGCAGAGATCATCCAAGATGAAAAGATTGAAGTCCATAAAATGTCATTGATGATTTTAGTAAAAGTAACTTAAAGATGTCCTGCATAGCAAGCTGATTGCTTTTGATTGAGGAGTGGTGGGACCAGCAGTTAGCATAATAGCTATGTCACTGGACTTCCATGTAGCCGACCGTGGTTCTCATCCCCTGGACTCGGTGGCTTAAACTCACTTCGGACACGTGTGTGTGCGTGCCCCAGATCCTAAGAGGAGAATGGAGGAGAAGGGATTGCAGCGTGGCCATCCCCCATGGGGGGGTGATTTCTCGCTTTCTATCTCTCTGTCTCTCTCTGTCTCTGGAGAGCGCATGCGCCCTATAGCAAAATAAAAATCTCAAAAAAAAAAAAAAAAGAAAAGAAAAGAAAAGAAGTGAGTGGTGATGATAAAGTAGAAGAAACTGAATGTTCACTTAAGGATCTGGCTGAGAAGGAAAAACTAGAAGGGGATGTAGATCAAGACAAAGTATCTCTCCCTTGCTCGATCTCGCTCCCTCTCTGCATCTGTGTTGTATGTGTGTATAGAGGATCAGGGCAGAATATCCTAGGACATGTGTAAAGAGATGTTGAATATATAGGATTGTGTAATACTAACCAAAGGGCAAGGTCATGGTCCTGGAAGAGCTGTGGGGATAGAATCAAGAGTAAGCTATTATACACGACTTCCTCATCTACTGAGGCCAAAGGAAGATGTGACAGGGGCTAGTTTAGAGGTCTGGAAGTTCACGGGGTTTATGTATGAGGGAGAGCCTCCATTTTCTCTGGAGGTTGAAACAAAGTCATTTTCCAGTGGTGAGTCACGAGTGGCATAAAACTATAAGAGGGCTGGCAAAAGCTTGGAGGAATTGCTGTGGAAAATGGACTTGAATAAGGGCATCAAATGGCCCTAAACTGGACATAATGTTAAAAGCTTTGGGAAGCAGGAATAATGTATTGGTTCTGTCATGTGCTTCTAACTCATCACTCCCTCACTGTGTTCTTGAAAAGATTCTCTCATTCTTGATAATACATATATTAAAATTCCAGAGGCTTTAAACACACACATGCATGCGTGCATGTGCGCGCGCGCACACACACACACACACACACACACACACACACACACACACACACACACACACACACACACACACACACACACACACACACACACACACACACACGGCTGTTTTCTTAGAGATTATGGTAGGAGTAGCTGCAATGGAAATGCACTCCCAGATGCAAGCAGGGTTAGACCAGGTGGAGGCAGTTAATTACAAGAAACGTGGGCAAAAGTGCAAAACACATGGTCTGACTCCCCGAGTTTTCTGGTTGTGGATAATTAAGTGTAGGATCCCAAGGAATGAACTCAACCCACCAGTCCTTCTTGATTTGTATAACAACGGAAACAAGCCAGCTAACAAAACATAGTGCTAGCTAGGTCTGGGGAGCCACTTGTCATCTTGTTCCACTAAATCAGATCCCAACTCCAGAGCATTTTGAGCATAGCCCGGATTTTTTTGAAGAAGGAAGCTGCAGGAATATAAGATAAAAAGGATCAGAGATCATTTTGTTATAAGAAAGGAAGCTGTAAAGGGAATGTTGGATTTACATGATTCTGTAATAATAACCAAGGGCAAGATCATGGTCCTAGAGAAGTTGGAGGAATGGACTCAGGAGTAGAAAAGATGTAAGAGGGCCACAGTCTAAACGTTGTACTTAGGAATGGAAACTTTCATCTCAGCCTTTTCCCAAAAGCCTTGCCACCCATTATGGGATAACTCCTTTGTAGACATTATTTAAACTTTCAGTGACTTCTAGTGTGAAAACAATACCTGGAAAGCAGTACTGCATTCCTGGAGAACTGCAGAAGTGCCACCATAAAAGGAGACAGATGCCATTGGATCATTCCTACCTTATTCCCATTCACTTCATGGACCAGACACCATGGAAGACTGATGGATTTAGGTAATGGAAACCCACTGTAGTGGTGATTTCAATTGCAGCCCCTTTTCCCAATGAGATCTCCTTAAAGGAGTATTGTTAAAAAGCCCTTGATACTTGTTTTACTTATTGATTTGGGACTTAGTTCCAGAATATCATTTTTTATTATTTAATTTTACTTATTATTATTATTTACTTAGAGATTTTTGGGTATAGGGTATTTATGCTTGCTATAAACCCAGAGAGACAGAGAGAGAAAGTGAGAAATCACCCTCCCCACCCAGGGGGATGGCCATGCTGCAATCCCTTCTCCATTCTCCTCTCAGGATTTTGGGCACACCAATATACATGCCTGGTGTGTTTCAAGCCATCGGGTCTAGGACTCAAACTGCAGTTGGCCATGTGGAGTCCAGCACCACAATCATTACGTCACCTGCTGGCCCCTTATTGTTTTGTAATTTGATGAGAGGGAGAGGGAGAGAGAGAGAGAGGCAGACAGAGACAGAGACAGAGACAGACAAAGTAAGAAAGCAAGTGGCCAGGTTCGGAACTTAAACCATGGTCAACCACGTGGGAGCCCAGTGCCTTAATCAGGCCACCTGCAGGCCCCCTCCAGAATATCTTTTTAAAAACATCTCTCTTCGTTGGGCCAGCTTATGGCATGGTGATTAAGGTGGCTGGACCCCACATGGCTGACTGTGCAGTTTAGTCCCAGACCCAGCAACTTAGAAAACATGCCGGATTCATGTGTGTGCCCAAACACCTGAGCGAATAGAGAAGAAAGGATTGCAGCATGGCTACCCCCCAGGGAGAGCTTTCTCTCTTTCTCTTTCTCTCTGATGAGCACACAGGCCCTATGTTAAAAAAAAAAAGGGAAAAACATTTTGTTTTATATTATACACGAGTAATCTTTTTGATTCAACCATAAAGATTTTTTTATTGTCTATCACTTTTTCTTATATGTTTCCATTTCTCTATATTAATTTCACTTGAAAATGGAAAATCATAATTGTACCTTTATCATGAGTTACTAAGAAAATTAGATAATCTATGGAAAGAGCATATAGTCAGTGCTCAGTTTTTCCTACCTCTTATTTAGATAACTAGGGATAAGAATCTGGGATAACGTCTCTTTTCAATTTCTTATTTTACAGGAGTCATTCTCAAGTCATCTAGCGATATGATAAAAATTTCTGAATCTGTCCATGTCAAAAAAACAGTTTTTCCTCCCCTCCCCTCACTTTAGCATCAATTTATCTAGGTAAGGGATCCCAGGTTCAGCTTTGAAGAGATATTCCATTGAGAAACCCAATGGCAATCCAATTTTGATCACTTTATAGGTGACATTTCTATATGAAATCTGACTCCCTTTCTTTATCTAGGACAGAATCTGTTTTCATGAGATATTCTAAGGACTCAGTGGACCCTTTAAATCTGCAGACTTGTGTTTCTGTTCAAATCTGTTTCTTCTTCTTCTGGTTATAGGGAGCATGAACTTGCTCAGGGGAAAGACAGGGAGACAGAAAGTGAGAAATAACTCCCCTCCCCAGGTAAGATAGCCACCACTGTAATCCCCTCTCCTCCATTCTCCTCTCTGGATCTTGGGCAGGTCCACAGGCACCCAGCATGAGTTTTAAGTTGCTGGATAGAGGACTTGAACTTCGGTGGATTACGTGGGAGTCCAGCAACATAACCATTATGTCATCTGCTGGTCTCAAATCTGGGCCACTTTCTTCTTTTGAGCCTCTCAAACCTCAACACCATGCCTTGGTTCTATAATTTCTGTCATTCAAATGTTGCCATGTCTAGATCCATCTTCCACATCTTATTATTTTGTCAATTCGCTATTCAGCCTTGTTACTCATTCTGCTATTAACTGACCCATAAATCGTGTCTTTCAGGGATTTCTCAATATTCCCAGATCACCCATGGAATATTTTGTTCACTCTGGCTTTAAAAAAAAATGAAGTCATGGGATTTTTTTAAGGAGAAGATGAGGTAGATTTGTGTGTGCAGGTCTTTTTTAATTCAATATTCCTTAGATAGCTTTTGGTTTGTCTTGTTTCTCTAAGCCGTGTATTTTAAGGAAAGGGCTCTTGGGCACCTAGTCCTGGTTCCCAAAGAAGCCTGAGAGCTTCTCTCTGACCCCAAGTCTGCAGTGAGAATGACCAGGGACTCGAGCTAGCTTGGGGAACACATACTAAGCTTGCTTATTAATTTTTTTGAGTTTTTTTTTTTCTATAAGGTATGTGTACTCGTCAGAAAGACAAGAGGGAGACAGAAAGCGAGAAATCACCCCCCAGGAGGGATGGCCACCCCGCAACCCCTTTTCCTCCATTTTCCTCTTGGGATCCTGGGCACGCACGCACACATGCCCTGCGCGAGTTTAAGCCACCAGGTCCAGGACTCGAACAACAGTGTACTACATGGCAGTCCTGCGACAGCCATTACGCCAGCTGCTAGTCCCAATACTAAGCTTGTTTATATCTTAAATTACTCTTTTCCGGGTTTTTAAGGACCTTATAAATCTGGTTTAGTCCAACAAATACATCCAAAAACATGCTATTCTTTATTCTCCCAACTCTTTTATCACCAGTGGTACCTGGAATGTTCTCCAGTCATTCAAAGTGTCCTCGAATGTCTTCCAAGCCCCACCCGTGCCTCTCTTCCAAGACGAAGGTTGCCTCTATCTCCGAAGCGATTCTCCACGTAGAAGGAGAACTGCCTGTAATTTCTCCTGAAAAACCCTAGACCTAGTGGGAACCAGCAGTTAGCATAATGGCTATGTCGCTGGACTCCCACGTAGTCGACCGCGGTTCGCGTCCCCGACCTGGTGGCTTAAAACTCACGCCGGGCGCGTGTGCGTGCATGCCCAAGATCCCGAGAGGAGAATGGAGGAGAAGGGATTGCGGCGTGACCATCCCCCCTGGGGGGTGATTTCTCGCTTTCTGTCTCTGTGTCTCTCTCTGTCTGGCGAGCGCACGCGCCCTACAGTGAAAATCTCTCTTTAAAAAAAAAAAACACCCTAGACCTAGTGAAAGAGAACCTCCGCTGATGAGACCCGTTTTCCTTCGACAGCTGCGCAGGTTAATCTGAGGCTCGCCCAGGTTAAGAACCATGCGGCCTCTGTCCGTCCCCTCCCCAGGGCGGTCCCAAGGCCGTCCCCGCCAACCCGACCTTGCCCTGCGGGGAGATGGCTAGAACTGGTCC